TGGTTATTGATAGTGGAATGAGGCGGGTGGAACAATCTGCATCATTACTGAAAATACGGTGAGAAATAGCATTTGAAAAAGAAGAGCTGACGACAGCCGAATCGTATAGATCAAATATCATCTCAGCCTACAGGCCTCTCATTTAATGTAGTGCTGAATTTTAACTTTCTCCGGGATTAGTCAATCTATAAAATTCCATGTACCACAAAACAGAAACGACGGTGCCAATCAAGGCTGTTGAATCTCCCTGATATCATGAGGGGAATTGCATCTCAAATAAAGCCTAAAATTTCTGATTATTGCATCCATTGCTAGACAAAATTTTTTGCTGATAAAGGGTCTTTGAAATAGTGTTGTTAGCCAGAAGAATATTTCCTGGTGATTAAAAAAGCAAAAAAACAATTTTGAACCACACATACTTTCATATTTGTTTCTATTAATGTCACTTTTGATGAAATAAAAACTGGGTTCATTTCAGTGGTGGTCTTTATGCAGGCCTTGAAGTTCATTCTATAGTACCTCCGCTTATGTTGCAACCAAAGGAATTGTTCCCCTTCTGTTACTTCTGTGGATGACATACAGTAAACAAGTTTAGACAGGGTTTGTGTACCACTGCCACAAGCTAAATGTAGCAAATGGCTTACGGTGTTTTTACCTAAGTATGTACATTTACTATCTTGGTGTCCCAGTCCCTCATCCCTTCACTCTCTCCCTTTTCCAGACTCTTCTGTACTATTGTACCCGAAGAGATAACTAAGGCTGCCAATTTAATGGCATTAGTAAGGAAATCCGATCCGAGTAGGCAACGATCATAACTTCCTTAATTGATATCACTCTTACAGCTTTCAGAAGGGAGGCCTCCCCTAAAAATTACTGGATCAGCGGAGACTCACCGACGGAGGATTGCTAAAAGGGCGTCGGCTTTTAGAAGGCGTCTCTAATTTCAGTAGGATATAATGAATGGATTAGAACTAGATTTTAACTAATTTAAATTGACTAAGAGAGGAGATCTACAATGTCCATAAACTCAGCGCATTTTTGAGTAGCCTGAAGATAAAATATTTTGTCTTATCTTAATTTTATTTTGATATTTCTATGGGAACCACTAATATATAACATGCACCTCTGATGGAATATCCTCCCCATTTCTCAAGTTTATCCTATCTATGTAGATTTTGACGCGTAGAGCATGTCAAATTCGAAAATCTCATCATATTCCTTACCATCGCTTACAAAGGTGTGACAACTTTTTGGAAGAATAATGGAATCTGATAGTACTTCTTCCCTGGTCGGTAAAATCAGATTGAGTTCACCAAATTGTACCAACAGTTTTCCAATTGTAAAAAGTTGCTAATATAAAGATCATGTAAAACCCTTTACTTTGCACCGTATTTTAACCGCCTCCTCAAAGAGCATCTCTAGTATGTATGCCCATCCACAATAAGATTGATTGGAAAGGCGTTGAAATTGCAAACAGCATGAACGGAACCACCCCTGCGATATAGAAATGGAAAATTTCCGCTCTGGAAATTAGAGCATTTGCATACTTCATAGCCTAGATCTACGGTGATCTCTGGAGGCAAATCAACATTACTGAAATTCTTGTTATCCCCCTAATGAGTGAAATGTACATTAATAATCATTAGTCATTTCAGCTGCCATCTTCTTCGTAGCATCTGTCACATTTGAAGTCCATTCAATCAACTTTAAGAAAAATAACCACCGGCCTAATTAACTAACACCTACTTCACCCATCCGGACGTTAAGCTAAAGTGGAGTCAAGAGGAATATCCTCCTGTGCAACAAGTTCCTTTGCCAACCTTTTTGTCCGCTGGCATTACATCTACTTGAATATGATGTAGCAAAGGACATCTTCTTCCGCCTTTCCGATCAGTTGCCTTGTAGGACAATGGGGGGCGCACATCTAAGTGAATGGAATTTGATGTTTCAACCATTGCCTAAAGTCACAAAGAGTTGTCTATCAGGGAGGAAGCAAACTCTACGTTGAATCAAAGGGCTCTTACTACACCAGTAGGTCTCTAGAACATCGTGTCCTCCTATTCATACCATGATGTCACGCAGTAAAAAAAAGTGGTCCATAATGTGCGGTAGGACATTTGTATATCAATCAACTTCCCGATGGTCACCTTTTCCAGAGCAGAACCGTTTCAGCATGTTAGCGAAATAATGCAGTTAGATAAAGTGTGCTTTTTTCTTACAATGAGTCTACCTACTTTGCCACCAAATCATCTCCGAAGTAGAGTAACAAAGTATAAAATAGTCATAAGAATTTACTTCACAGGATGGTAATGACAAAGAGAAGTTTTGGTCTCCCACAAATACCTGCTAAACCCACATCCCACAAGTTTAGCAGCGTTTGTTAGGATTTGAGATATGGAGCTAGAGGTAAGTCGAATCATTCAAATCTTCCGTAGTTGCACTTTCAACTCATTTTCAGCACAAACTGTGGGATGGTCTCCTTCTACATTCATTAAAATTTACTAAATTGTTCATCAACATTACATTTTGGATCAATCCAGTAGTAAGTTGATTAGTATTTCTCCATTTCAGGGTCAAACTGTGCAACACTAGGGTCACAGACCTCCCTCGTTAGTTAGTTCCAATATTAGGCTAATACCTAGGTTTGTTGACATAGTGAATATTTGTGCAGCAAATATACGAACTAGGTATTCATGGATCAAAAAGTGGAAGTGGATTGACAAACAAGCCTGCACAGTCCTCAGAATCTGTGCCTTCCAAACTTTCGCAAATTCACCAATCAGCATTTTGAGCAAAAAATTTTTATCTCTTCTAAATCCCCGGGTACCATCAAAAGAGTAGACCTCCTCCTAATGAATAACATCCAGACTTTTACAACACTGTCGTTTTTGACAGCGAGGACTGCGACAGAGCAGGTCAGGCATTGCCAGATCCCTGAGATTCTATGCGTGGAATTTGTTAATTCCCTTCTTCCCACTACAGCAAATGTCGATTTATGTGGTCTCAGTCATTTAGTCCAGGGTTGAATTTTATTTGTAACACTAAAGAACTCAAAATTGTTGGCAGTGATTATGACTGCGTCCTCCATATCATTAAGCTTTCATTGTTTTCAGAGCACAATCCAAATATAAGGTATGAACTACAAGTAGTAGAAATGAACCTGTCGCCTGATTAGACACTGGAGGTGGTAACTATAGAGGTTGTGAAATGAAAGGAGGAAAGTGGAGCCAATTTCTTCACGTATGGTGACCAGAAGCGCGGTTTCGTGGATGACCCTCCTCCGATGTCTACACCAATGATTTGGTGGATGTGGCGCACTCGGGAGAGTGCTGCAGATCTTACCAATAGCAGGGATATACTTGAATGGGCTATTCACGATGCCCTTTGGAGGCAACTGCAAGCACATGCATCCCAGTTAGCAGTAACGCTTAGTAACGTACTTAACTTTCCAGACGGGTTTGCTTAACTACTTAATAGTCAAACTGGAACAAATACGAGTGCTCTACCTGACCACCATGTTCCCTTTTCTCTCTTCAAGTCACAGACATGCTATAGAGGAAACTGAATGATTTTCTTGACAATCTTGGCAGTACATCAAGTCAACTCAAGAAAACTGCTCCACCTTCATTGAGGGGGGCTATCAACCCCAATGCCTCCTACAAGACGTCATGTTAACAGGAATTGGGGCAGTGTTGAAAAATTATCTGAGGGAGCCATTGGGCAGGGCTCTGTCATAATTCTGAGATGGCATCTGTCTTCCACTGCAAGTAAGGTAAGACGTCATGGTGAAGTGGGGACGAAGCAAGCAGTTGTGCTTTGCACTTCCTTAGGTGAAGAGACACAATACTTCTCCGCTTATGCGGTCTGCAGAACACAAGTAACTTCCTATCACCCACCTGTTAGGTATCCGGTTAACCATCTACTATGCACATCTGTGTTCGCATTCAATGCCGATGTTGGAATGACACCCATTTTAGATGCGCAACTTAGTCAAATCGGTCTTATACTGTCCAAGTTACCAGTGCTTCCGCCAAACGGGAGTTCACTTCGCTTACGACTGCGCATCAGTGTCGTAAAACCCACTAAAATTTTGCTGACATTCTCTCATTTAAATAACAGAACAGCGTTGAGCATACATAATGCAAGTCCACTTAACAATCCACCACTCCAATATCTTCCACCTTGTCCCAAGTCCACTCACTGCATCAATAAAAGATATGCGGGTTTTCAAATATCATGGTATAAAATTTACTGTAAAAAGTTGACAGCATCTCGTTGAATGGTGTCAAAGACCGTACAATCACAAGCATATCTGAGTGCGTGTTCCCCTACTCCTCCTCAAAGTGATGTCGAGACAGGCCCAGTGTGCTATCTCCACGAGATTGAGGGTCGGATTGTTTTGGTGTCTATTACACCAAATTCGCCAATTGGTATGCAACGCAGAAAAAGGGCGAAAGCGGAAACCGCCTAATGTCTGGAACATGTGCTTCATGCAGTCGAAATTTGAAGTGAGATCACTTATACGTGCCATCGAGCCCGCCACAACAAATGTTTGCCGCGATGTCAGGATATTGCCGAGGAGGTTCAGGCATTCATGATCTGCATCAGATGCCCAATAATCGGCATCAAAAATGGCACAATCATACTCGCTCAGTAGCATTGTTTCTCCTCCCCTTGCATCTTTCTTCGAATATTCAATTTTGCTTAGGAAAGTGCCACCTGCCGTCCACAAAAACTGATCCCACAAATGTGGAAAATTTAGGATATCCAAAGATACGTCTAAACGGAGTACAGTAGGAGGCGCAGACTGCAGCACGGGTAACTCATAATAGTAGCGTACAATCCTGTTTCGATACCGTTGACTGCAGTGACATAGCGTGGTGATGGCAAAGGTCACCGTTACTTGCTCAACTTTGGAAGACTGTCTCAACGCGAAGTGACGAAGGAAGTTCTCTTTTTTATTGTAGTAGCGAACTGCATAAACGGCACTGTTTGTGCTACTTTCGGCATCTCCGCGTAAAAGCAGGCGGCAGAGGTGCCTGTCCAACCATTTCATATCATTCACATTGTCGCGGATCTTAAGAGCTAGTTCCGGAGTGACTTGGTTCAACTGTAAATTGGCTAATTCTTTCTAAAA